GCTCTTGCACCCACCAGGTAAGACATGACTCTGCCTTCTAGGAGCGGGCAACCTGGAAAGAGGACGAGATTAAGACAAAGTACACAGCATAGTGATCTCCTGAAAATAGTTTTTGAGTGGCTGAAGGCCAGAGGGAGGTTGGGTCTATTTGGTGTCTCCCTGTGCTACCCTTCTGGTCTCAGTTCAGGGTAGACAGAGGGATGTATGTATTCAGTGTCTCACTGGATGCCTGGGGACTTCCTTTGGGGCTGGGAGGACCACCGCTCAGAAGGTAGGATCAGTGCTGTGCCAGGAGCCCAGGGCTTTCTAAAGGCAGGTGAAGCTGGGTATGAACTGGTGAGCTGGGCATGAGCAGGTGTGACCCAGGAGTAAGCAGGGCAGGGCAGAACTCCTGGGCCTCCACCTGTCCTGGGGTTAGGACCCCCGGTCCTTGGAGACCTCCCTTGATGGCCCTCCAACAGCCCTGAGAACAAGCCCTATAGGGAAGGTAGTCTACCTCAGGAGACTGCGGTCCTGGGAGCGGCCTGGGGCCCGCAGTGTTGAGCATCCCCTTCCTCTTGCCATCTCTGGGCTCAGATATGCAAGCCTCACCTGTGATACAGGTCTTGACTTTCCCATGGCTCTTTCCTCAGGGGTTCCCCTGACACTTGGTGTTTGCCCTTGGTGCAGGGTCCTGAAACACTCTGTGGACTCCACCTAGGAGGAGCAGGGCCCAAGCCCTGGGTACCGCATGGAGCTGTCCATCTTCTACATGGTCTACTTCGTGGTCTTCCCCTTCTTCTTCGTCAACATCTTTGTGGCCTTGATCATCATCACCTTCCAGGAGCAGGGGGACAAGGTGATGTCTGAATGCAGCCTGGAGAAGAAGGAGGTGGGTGGCTCCCTCTTCTGTCCCATGTGCACGTGTGCATTGGATGCTCTGCTGGGCTCCCCTGATGGGCAGCATGGGCAGAACCACTGGACTTCCCTTCCGCATGGGACTCGCTCATCACCGCATAGCTGGTGGCCAGCACAGGGGCAGGGAGAGACCGAGTGTGGCTGGTCAGGGCTGCCTGCGAGGACGGAAGAGACAGGTGTGGGGTGCAGTGGGTGCTGCAGTGTGGGTTCCCCCCAACCCCACCATGTTCTCTGTGCTCTTTTGTCCCCGGGCAGAGGGCTTGCATTGACTTCGCCATCAGCGCCAAGCCCCTGACGCGGTACATGCCCCAGGACAAGCAGTCATTCCAGTACAAGACATGGACATTTGTGGTCTCGCCTCCCTTCAAGTACTTCATCATGGCCATGATTGCCCTCAACACAGTGGTGCTAATGATGAAGGTATGTTGGCCCAGCATGGGGGACAGTG